TTTCTCCCACCGTCTGGAAGGTGACCTGAGTGGCGGTTTGACCATCCTTGGAGATCTAGTACCAGTTGAATAACGTCTGGCACCTTCTAGACTGAAGTTCCTGGTCACAGTGATCCTTTCTTGCCCCCCGAGCCTTTGCTGGTCTGACCTAACGCTCCTGCTATGTCTGGATCTCTGTGCCTCAAGAACCCACCTTAAGTCTTCTGCAGCAAGGTTCCTCTGAGAATAAGGCAGACTGCGATTTCTGGCAACACTCCTGAGGTCTGCAACATTCACGCCGACAGACACAGCTGGAAAAGGGTCTGCATCCACTCCCATGGTCTCCTTCGCTTTGTCTGGAAATCTCAATGTATCCTTATCAATCTTTTTCAATGGCCTCAAGGCTGGCCCATAGTCTCTATTGAAGAATTGAGCTGGTTGATTCTGCAGACCACGCCGTACCGTCTGGGCTAGAGGAACTTGTGGCTGGAAAAAGTCCCTTGGACAAGGTTGATGATGAGGACCCACATTTCCCTTCCTAGCTGGCAGAATATACTTATGCTGAGGTTGATGGCCGTGGTCTACAACAGGAGTAACAGCCTCCATCAATTGGTGTTGTCTTTGCCCTTCACCAATGACAAAATGCTGCTGTTGAGTATTGGGATGAGGTTGATTCCCTTGCCCCCCGAGTGCTGGGATTGGGGCTTCTTGAATCTGTCTGGGCATCTCAACGACTGGAGGAGGGATCTCAGGTCTGGGCTGTCGCACTTGCTCAACCACTTGTTCTGAAACAGCCTGCAGTGGTCTGCGACTTTCTTCCCCAGTTTCTCGCATCACCTTAGTGCCTTTTTCAAAGACCCGTCTCATTTCTTCTATACATTGTCTAATTGTCTCTTCCTGGCGTCTGGAAAATTCTGCTTGACTCTCAACAAACCTCCGCATAGCCTGGTTCTTTTCTTTGAATGCTACATCCAGACGCTCAGTCATACCTCTAAACACATTACTTGATTCAGCAAAGTCATCTCTGCGGTCTGCATCCCTTTCTTTGAAAATTGGATTCCCATAGAATCGCTCCACGAAGGGTGATAAGAAAGGAGAAACAACTGGATCATTCTCACCCTCCGAGTAAACTGGACTATCATCTGCATGTTCAGCCTGGGTTGGCTGAACCTCTTTATCTTTGCTCTTTCTCGGTGGCATGGCTCCAGATGCCTCTGAATGTATGAACAGAGGATTTGTGAACTGTAGTTGATACATGCTGCTAGTGGTCCCACCGGGCGTGCCAACAAAGGATTGTTTCCTCAAAAATCCTCAGCTGGCCTTTACCACGTGAGTTGGTTATTAGGCGTGCCACTTGCTTTGTCTAAAAACAAGAAAACAGGATTTTCCAGACGACCCTCCTCCTTTCCAACGGTCGACCTCCAATAGGATGGCTGGAAAGAACGTCTGTGAAATGAATTGCGCCCCAGACGATGTTGCAAAACAGAGGGTAGAGCTCTGCAAAATGAGTTACTAATTGCCTTGGAAACCTCCAAGGACTTCACAACCAAACAAGTGTAATAAAAGCTACAAATCCTAAAATAAATGCAATATCCTAAAGCGATTAAACTAACATGAAGTAATTAACAGAAAATAACATGCCATAAAGATTAAATTCGCAGACAACAGAATAAGTAAAATAACAGACAATGATTTCAACTACGCAGCCCATAATGATAACTAAAACTGGAGAAGAAACTATGAAATGATTAACGTCTGGAAACTTATAAACTTAAATCTGGAAATTGAAACTAAACAAACTGCATGTCTGGATATTGTGCAGAAACAAAAGAACAAAGGTAGAAAATGTTCAACCTATTTACATGAACGAATAACATAACTAAATCCATAAAAAGAAGAAGAACTAACCGAATCAAAAGGGCAGACCTGTTTTGAAGGCTAAGTTGCTTCCAAATGCTTAAAAACTAATCTAAATTGGAATTAGTGGGAGAAAATATGATGAACAAACCTAGGCTAAGGCTATGAACTAATCTGGAAAATCTGGAAAGTCTGGAAAATCTGGAAGCTATTGCTGAAATCTGGAAAATGCAGTCTGAAAGCTGAAAAACATGCTCTGGGCAGTCTGTGTGTGTGCTGGGCAGGGCTCTAACTGTTCTCTTCTCTCTGTTTTTGTTCCCTTCGATGCTGGTAACCTCCTCCATGATCTTCTCCATGATCTTCGATACTGTTCCTCCATTTTCGGCACTGTTCCTCCATGATCTGGTAATGGGATTGCAGGTCTGGTAGTTATTTAATAGTTATCTGATTTTTATTTAACCTTATCTCCAACAACCTTAAAGATAACCACATAAAAATCCTTAATTTCCCATTTTAAATCAAAGTCAAACTACCAGATCCAATCTTATCTTCTGCCACCTAAGATCCAATCTCCTTGGAAATCCGTCTAGGCCATTAAATTATAAGCCAGCCCAGCCCAAATCCAGCCCATTGATTTTCTT